TACTTTTATACTATCCTACAGCCGTTTGAACACAATAGAGTTATATGGTAACACTTCACAATAAGGTTTCATTTGTTAACATTAGTTAGTGAACATCAACTAACAATTAACAATACTTTTACATCATTTTTTTTTGTGTATGTTAATTTCAACATTTAACTATTGGTCAATGTATTGTGAACTAACATGAACAAACAATGAAGACTTGTCTTTTTAAATTAACAAAAATGCATTCATGTTAATGAATGGGAGCTTATTGTAAAATGTTACAGTTCTATTCTATTTTGTGAGGTAGTACAGTTAGTTTTGAGAAGATTTGCTCTGTGTAATGTGCTTGGTATTCACACATTCACAGCTGTACAGTAAATAACTCTTGTGAAAATGCTTCTACCCAATGATAGAAATGAATGGGATTATTTGTGCTTCTCCAAAAGTCCTCCTACTTCTACACTGTAAAACAAAATTACGTAAAATTTACGGTAAAAAATATGGTAGCAACGTTTTAGGTTTTACGGTTTTACCTTAAATTTACAGTTAAATACCGTCATTTCATTAACTGATATAATGTTAATATACCAACCTATTGAAGTACTGAAATCTGTTTTGTACCTTTGTAATACACTGATAACCACCAAACGCAGGTGGTGATGAGAAAGTCACATGATGAACCAAAGCCCATCACAAGCAGCTTTTAAATAATAACATATATAGAAGGTGCACAGTGTCATTCACACAAACACTAAACACCATCATGGTAACACACATGAAACTGAAATAATGCAATAAACATTCATTTAACAACATTAGGTGTAACACACAACCCTAATATACAAAACTGATAAGAAAAAACTAAGAAGAAACATAGTTATTTCAACAACAAAAACATCCCATTTGAAATGTAACGCAGGCAATTCTGGGAATGTCAATTTACGGTTATTCACTGTAAATTATACGATCTTTTTCACTTCCAAAAATGGTATACTACCGTAAATGTAATGTCCAATACAGTTTTTCACTGTATATAGTAGGGGAATTTACCGTTAACCATTTAATAGGTTTTTACTGTAGCATTTTTACAGTCTTTTACCGTTAAATTCACGGTCATTTTTTACAGTGTACATTCCAACTGAGTGACACTTTGGGTTCATTAGATTTAGGCTGTTGTGAGTGTTAACGACGGTTAACCACTTTAGAGCCTATGTACAGCACGCTGTATATAAGAACTGTAAAATTTAGACACATTATGCTTTTTAATATATATATATTTGTTCATTACAGTTGGCACTTAATAATAGCTTTTATGTCATAAACATATAATGCTTAACAGGTCACTAGAGTAGTTAATGGACATTTAGTTACGTATTAAATCAATGTATATACAAATGTAAGTTTTACTTGAATCACAATTAATGATCTAGTTCAAACAACTAATAATCTGTTGTGTAATGAATCATGTTCTATGAGTTTTTAAAACAGTCTTTACCACATAAATTCACACAAAACACATTAATTTCTGTAAACTGTATGCTAGCCTATATATTAGAGCAACTTTTGGACAACTTGAAATTGTCCAAAAACGCACCTTGGTATTATATGGCCCATGTTTTTTGGTACTATGGCATTCTTTGAAGTACTACCACGGTACCACCTTCTGATATTATCACAGTACCATGCTACTTTGTCTGTAAAGTCACTTACAAACATATTCTAAGCACCTGAAAAAATGTCTCTGTCTACACATTGAAAGGTTTTATGGATACTCACAGCCAGTTTTATCAGCCAGATCATGGAACATATGCACTCGTCCAGACTGTGAAGCTCCCATGTTAAAGTCCGGAAGAGATCAGAAACAGTCGTGTGAAGAATGGTCAGAACTTTCACAACGTGTCCCTCAGACTTTGATAGCAAAGCTCCGCCCGCTTATGAAATATGCAAATTCGCGTCAGTGACACACCTGAGTCTCGTCCGTTTTTTTTCCTCTGAGTGCGGGATCTGAAAATTCTTTCGAGACCCAGAAATGGACATTTGGGTTAGGTATAAAAGAAGACATCTTCGCTTTCTTGTCATAGCAGATATTTGGGCTCGTTGTCAACAAGATAAATGTCGTAAATAAATGGAATAATACTTATTTTAATATACATTTATAAAATGTATATTAATGAATTAAAATCATATTTTAAATAAAATAAATATATGAAATAAATAAAAATTATTTTATTTTATATGATTGTTAAAATATTTTAAAATAATTTGTATGATTAAAATATCTTCAAGATATTATTTTGTTCTTCGTATTCATGAAAACATCACAGGTCAAATAATGTTTTCGTGATATTCACCCAGTCTTCTGCAGCCAGAGAAAGGATTAAGGTATAGTGTGGTAGATGCTTATATTTGCATTATAAATATTTAAGGTTGTTTGACTTTGGATGAGTATTAAAGTTAATGCAAACACACTCTGCTTTGGATACAAGAGGGACCCCACCCTGACTTGTTTGCCATTCATTCTCAAACTTTCACTTTAACAATGCATGTTAAAACAGAACAGGGGAACATTCATCAGAGGCGACTAGTGACAATGCTTCAATTTTGCCTTCTTTTTTAATCATCATAATATGCAGCAAAATTAAATCAGCATAGCAATTAAAGTAAAATGTTTCATTGACAAATGAAATTCCAGCACGTTTTAATATTTGATTTGTATCTCGAGCTGACATGAGCAAAACATGACAATCATGTTCTACAGAATGACTGACGAATACTGCAAAGAGCAACTTGTGCTTCAGTGGAAGCAAGGAAACCTGACCATTTGTATAAGAGGATTTCACATGGTCAATGTCACACATTTGGGTAACACTTTACTTGAAGGGGTGTGCATAAGACTGACATGACACCTTCATAATCATGACACGTCATGAATATGAAGGAGGTTTTATGCATGTTTATGACAACTGTCATTAAGTGTCATTCGCGCAGTTATGTCATTTTTAATGCAAATATGACATTATTTGACCTAACCCTAACCTAACCCTACCCCTACCCTTACCCCTAACCATAGCCCATAACAAAGACATCTCAAACAATGTCATCTTTGCATTAAAAATTACATAACTGAGCGAATGACACTTAATGACAGTTGTCATAAACATGCATAAAAAACCTTCATATTCATGACGTGTCATGTCAGTCTTATGCACACCCCTTCAAGTAAAGTGTAACCCAAATTTGCCTATAGTTGTATTTTGACCTCGAAATATTCAGTTTGCTTAAGAGTAATGCGTCATAAAGTTTGGGGCAGTCGTGCTCAAATGTTTGCTGATATACGAAAATTAATATTTTATTTACATATTCCTGGGCAATCTGGAAGGGAATCATGGTTAGATGAACACATTTAAATATTTAGCTATATAAAATCTCTACACTTACAAAACAAGTAGATAAGTTATAAAAATAAAATTATAAAGAAATAACCAGACCAACAAAGTAGTGCTTATTCTTTTATTGTGATGCATTCTCTTATATTCTCAATACCTTTGTATTTACAACCACTATGAGCCAAGAATTCCTTGAGCCCCTGTTCTCTAGGTTTTTTCTTTTTTTTTTTTATAACTTTGAAATAAAATTTACAAAATATTTTAAGGTGACAGCTTTAGACATTTTACTTCATGTCAAGTGCATGTTAGTTAACATATTAACATATGTGACATTAGTGCATTAGTTCAGTGTGATGTGTTATGACTGATGGCATAAGGAACGGGCCTGATCATCAACACATATACAGATATTCAGACCCTGTGTAGTGTAAGTTCACATAGTCTATACATACTATCTAAAGTATATTTTGTATCTGCACAAATACTGTAACTCAACCACATCATTTATACTCAACCACTCAAATACAACACGTGTAGTTTCTTTCAGCTTAGACTACATTTGCAGCTCTGGCTCAAAGTTGCGCTTAAAACTAATCTAGGACCAGGATGTTGTCTTAAAGGAATTGTTCACGCAAAAATTAAAATGTACTCATCATCAGGCCATCCGAGATGTAGATGAGTTTGTTTCTTCATCAGAACAGATTTGGAGAAATTTAGCATTACATCACTTGGATCCTCTGCAGTGAATGGGTGCCGTCAGAATGAGAGTCCAAACAGCTGAGAAAAACATTGCAATAATCCACATATCTCCAGTCTATCAATTAATGCCATGTGAAGTGAAAATCTGCATGTTTGTAAGAAACAAATGCATCATTAAGATGTTTTTTATCTATAAAATTGCCATCTCCAATGAAATCTGGAAAGAAATATGTACAGATCAAGCTCCGTTTCCAGGGAGAACAGTTTAAAACCGTTCTGTCAGTGGATTTTGATTTTAGAGACAATAGGGAATGAATTTTTTCACTGGACAATGCATTATTTTGGGTTATGGACTCTTAATTTGCCTAGAAGTGATGGTTTGAAGTTAAAACACCTTGATGCATTTGTTTCTTACAAATATGCAGCTTTTCATTTCACAAGACATTAATTGATGGACTGGAGATGTGCGGATTACTTGTGGGTAATTGTGATGTTTTTATCAGCTGTTTGGACTCTCATTCTGACGGCACCCATTCACTACAGAGGATCCAT